CAAAGCTATTCTTTCCGCTCGATCAATTCAAGAGTTCGTACTAAAATAATGCAAAGCTATTTTTTCCATTCGATCTATCCTAGAGTTCGTACTAGAATAACACCAAAGCATATTCATATTCATAATACTCAATCCACACAAAGAACTACAAAGAGACCCCAAAGTTCCTATCAAAGAAAAGATAAATAAAAAATGTAACCCCTATGCATAGATTACCCCAATATCACCGCGGGAATCCGCAAGTTGAGTGCCATCACATATATCAAGTGAATCAATATGATACCCCATTGTCACCTGAAGTATTCATACCGCAATACATACATCATGTGTTCTCAAATCTGAACATTCAATCCGACATGACAAAACTTCAAAGGGTAAAGATTCAATTCATCACAACAAGAGTATAGAGGGGAGAAACATCATATGATCCGACTATATTAACAAAGCTCATGATATAGATCACGAGAGACAAAGATTAAACACATAGCTACTGGTACAAACCCTCAGCCCCGAGGGTGGACTACTCCCTCCTCATCGTGGTGGCCATCGAGATGATGAAGATGGACACTGGAGATGATTCCCCCCTCCGGCAGGGCGCCGAAACGGGTCTATATTGGTTTTCGATGGCTACGGAGCCCTGCGGCGGAGGAACTTCTGATCTAGGTTAACCCCGAGGGGTTTCGTAATATTTGGGAATTTATAGTGCAAAGAAGGGGTGCGGGAGGCCACCGAGGTGGGCACAACCCACCTGGGCGGGCCAGGGGGCCCTGGCGCGCCCTGGTGGGTTGTGCCCCTCTCGGGGCACCCCCAGGTGCTGCTCTGGCCCATCGGGAGTTTTCTGGTCCATAAAAAATCCATAAAAGTTTCGCGATGTTTAGACTCCGTTTGATATTGATTTATTGCGATGTAAGAAAACAAGCAAAAAACAGCAAACTGGCACTGGGTCAATATGTTAGTCCAAAAGATGATATAAAGTTGCTATAAAATGATTGTAAAACATCCAAGAATGATAATATATTGGCATGAATACTTCATAAATTATAGATACGTTGGAGACATATCAGCAAGTCATAGAGAATAAATGGATCTTCAAGAAGAAGACTAACGTTGATGGTAATATTACTACTACAAAGCTCGACTTGTTGCAAAAGGTTTTCGACAAGTTCAAGGAGTTGACTATGATGAGACTTTCTCACCTGTAGCGATGCTTAAGTCTGTCCGAATCACGTTAGCAATTGTCGCATTTTGTGATTATGAAATCTGGCAAATGGACGTCAAAACTGCATTCCTTAATGGATTTCTCAAAGAAGAGTTGTATATGATGCAACCAGAAGGTTTTGTCGATCCTAAAGGTACTAACAGAGTGTGCAAGCTCCAGCGATCCATTTATGGACTAGTGCAAGCATATCGGAGTTGGAATATATGCTTTGATAGTGTGATCAAAGCATATCGTTTTATACAGACTTCCGGAGAAGCCTGTATTTACAAGAAAGTGAGTGGGAGCTCTGTAGCATTACTAATATTATATGTGGATGACATATTGTTGATTGGAAATGATATAGAATTTCTGGTTAGCATAAAAGGATACTTGAATAAATGTTTTTCAATGAAAGACCTCGGTGAAGCTGCTTATATATTAGGCATCAAGATCTATAGAGATAGATGAAGACGCTTAATTGGACTTTCACAAAGCACATACCTTGATAAAGTTTTGAAGAAGTTTAAAATGGATCAGTCAAAGAAAGGGTTCTTGCCTGTGTTACAAGGTGTAAAATTAAGTTAGACTCAATGCCCGACCACTGCAAAAGATAGAGCAAAAATGAAAGTCATTCCCTATGCCTCAACCATAGGTTCTATCATGTATGCAATGTTGTGTACCAGACCTGATGTGTGCCTTGCTATAAGTCTAGCAGGGAGGTACCAAAGTAATCCAGGAGTGGATCACTGGACATCGGTCAAGAACATCCTGAAGTACCTGAAAAGTACTAATGATATGTTTCTCATTTATGGAGGTGACAAAGAGCTCATCGTAAATGGTTACGTTGATGCTAGCTTTGAAACTGATCCGGATGAATCTAAGTCACAAACCGGATACGTACTTATATTGAATGGTGGAGCTGTCAGTTGGTGCAGTTCCAAGCAAAGCGTCGTGGCGGGATCTACGTGTGAAGCGGAGTACATAGCTGCTTCGGAAGCAGAGAATGAAGGAGTCTGGATGAAGGAGTTCATATCCAATCTAGGTGTCATACCTAGTGCATCGGGTCCAATGAAGATCTTTTGTGACAATACTGGAGCAATTGCCTTGGCGAAGGAATCCAGATTTCACAAAAGAACCAAACACATCAAGAGACGCGTCAACTCCATCCGTGATCAAGTCAAGAAGGGAGACATAGAGATTTGCAAAATACATACAAATATGAATGTGGCTGATCCATTGACTAAGCCTCTTCCACGAGCAAAACATGATCAGCACCAAGACTCCATGGGTGTTAGAATCATTACAACGTAATAATCTAGATTATTGACTCTTTTGCAAGTGGGAGACTGAAGGAAATATGCCCTAGAAGCAGCAATAAATTTGTTATTTATATTTCCTTATATCATGATAAATGTTTATTATTCATGCTAGAATTGTATTAACCGGAAACTTGATACATGTGTGGATACATAGACAAAACACAGTGTCCCTAGTAAGCCTCTACTAGACTAGCTCGTTAATCAAAGATGGTTAAGTTTCCTAGCCATAGACATGTGTTGTCATTTGATGAACGGGATCACATAATTAGGAGAATGATGTGATGGACAAGACCCATCTGTTAGTTTAGCCTGTTGATCGTTAAGTTTTATTGCTATTGCGTTCTTCATGTCAAATACATATTCCTTCAACTATGAGATTGTGCAGCTCCCAAATACCGGAGGAGTACCTTGTGTGCTATCAAACGTCACAACGTAACTGGGTGATTATAAAGATGCTCTACAGGCATCTCTGAAGGTGTTTTCTTGGTTGGCATAGATCGAGATTAGGATTTGTCACTCCAAGTATCGAAGAGGTATCTCTGGGCCCTCTCGGTAATGCACATCATGATAAGCCTTACAAGCAATGTGACTAATGAGTTAGTTGCGGGATGATGCATTACGGAACGAGTAAAGAGACTTGTCGGTAACGAGATTGAACTAGGTATGAAGATACCGACGATCGAATCTCGGGCAAGTAACATACCGATGACAAAGGAAATAATGTATGTTGTCATTACAGTACGACCGATAAATATCTTCATAGAATATGTGCGAACCAATATGAGCATCCAGGTTCCGCTATTGGTTATTGACCGGAGAGGTGTCTCGGTCATGTCTACATAGTTCTCAAACCCGTAGGGTCCGCACGCTAAACGTTCGATGACGATTTGTATTATATGAGTTATGTGATTTGGTGACCAAATGTTGTTCGGAGTCCTGGATGAGATTGCGGACATGACGAGAGGTAAAGATTCATATATATGACGATTGTATTTGGACACCGAAAGTGTTCTGGAGGTACCGAGTACGTTTCGGGTCACCGAAAGGGGTTCCGGGCAACCCCTGGCAAGCTATATGGGCTTAATGGGCCTAGGGAGGAACAAACCAGCCCACAGGGGGCTAGTGCGCCCCTCCACCAGGCCGGCCAGTCGTAGGTGAGGCAAGGGAGGAGGGCTAGCCCCTCTTTCCTTCCCCTTCTTAAGGAAGAAAGGAAAGGGGGAGGGGGAGGCACCACCTCCTCCTTCCTTCTCCTAGTGCCAAAACAAGGAAGGGGGGAGGGGCGAATTGGGGTGGGAGCCCAAGTAGGATTCGACCTACTTGGGCGCCCCCTTGTTGCCTCTTCCCCCCTCCAACCTATATATATGTGGGGAGGGGGCGCCTAGAGGACAGAAAAACATCTGTTAGCCGTGTGCGGCGCCCCCCTCCATAGTTTACGCCTCCGGTCATATTGTTGTTGTGCTTAAATGAAGCCCTGCGTGGATCACTTCACCATCACCGTCACCACGCCGTCGTGCTGACGAAACTCTCTCTCGACACTTTGCTGGATGAAGAGTCCGAGGGACGTCATCAAGCTGAACGTGTGCAGAACTCGGAGGTATCGTACGTTCGGTATTTGATAGGTCGAAACGAGAAGAAGTTCGACTACATCAACCGTGTTGTCAAACACTTCCGCTTTTGGTTTACGAGGGTACGTGGACACACTCTCCCCCTCTCGTTGCTATGTATCTTCTAGATAGATCTTGCGTGAGCGTAGAATTTTTTTTGAAATTGCACGCTACGTTTCCCAAACATTGTTGGCCCATGCGACTGGAGTTTTTTTTTTTTTGAGGAAACCATGTGTCCGGAGTTTTTCATTGTTGCACATTTGAGTCAGCGCAAACAAAAAACTTCCACTAGTGGTGCAATGGTGCAGTCATTTCCACATGCTTGTATGGTTCCAAAAAAAATTGTTTCAAAAATTTCCTGGATCTTGTCCGCAACACGATGCCTCCATTATACATGGAAAAGAGCCAGACAAATGAATTGGTACGAGAAGAGTTTGGATTTTTAGAGCAGTTCCCCTTTTTACCCTTTTCAGTTTGTTTCACTTTGCCGAGTAAATGCAAATGTATGGATGTGAATTGTCCTTTTTTTTGCAAATGAATTCCGAATTGCTGTTGCATTTCGAAATAATGACTTCAAAACGAATCAATGGTAAAAAAAACCTATAGATAACACAAACATTGTGTGCAGTCCTAATACATATATTACAACATAGCAAAAAACCACCTGAGGCTACACAGAAGAAATAAAAATAAATTTACGAGAGAATCCCAAAAAAAGAGTAACTTTCAACATGTTGATGGGCATGGAGTTTATGTGCATCAACTACGTTAGTCTACTATATATGGTCCTTCCTGTTGGTAAATATGATGAGAATAGTAGCCATGTATAGTTAATTACTTCGCTAGTACAAATTGATTGGCCGCCTATACTTGGTCCTGTTATCTGCCGTCTTCATCAGTCAAGGCGACGTTGCTGATGTACGACGATTCACCAAAGGAACTATTTGACTCTGGTAAGCTTGATAACCTAACGTTGAAGTAGGCCGGCTGTCGGGGCTCCGGCAGCGTGAGCCCCTCGCCGCTGAGCATGGCGACGACATCGGACATGCTGGGTCGATCGTCGGCGCTGTCCTGGACGCACAACAACGCCACCTGGACGCACTTCATCACCTCCGTCACCGGGTAGTCGACCCCGAGTACCTGATCGACCATCTCGTGCCATTTCGCCTCTTGCCACAACTGATAAGCCTGATAGAATTAACACAAGGTTTGCAGTGAGCAGGCGACTCTTTCAGGTTATCAGCAAAAATCAAAATTATGGTTTTCCTGTTTGCAGATAAGCGGATTTCGAGGACCATTTCTTTAGCCGAAACCGTAGAACAATTATTCTACATCTACGCTAATTTTTTTTCTGAGGACCAATTAACGCCATATTATGTACTTACGTATCCTGTGAGATTGAAGAATTTTCCGTACTGGTAGAAGCCTGCAGTCCTCTTCCCACTTATGATCTCCAAGAGCAAGACCCCGAAGCTGAAAACGTCGGATTTGGTGGAGAAGAGACCCTCTGAAGCATACTCTGGAGCGATGTAGCCGCTGGTAAGATATACAAAAAAAAGTGAAGTTCAGTCTTAAGATCACCAACAAAGAGTACATTTCTATTCATCTTTGATTTTTGTTGGTGAGGTAGCTATGTGTTGTGAAATTTAATCAGGAGTGTATATAACTTACTGCGTGCCGACGACCCTGGTCGTGTTGGCCTCCGTCACATTGGAGCAGAATATCCTCGCCAAACCGAAGTCCGAGATCTTGGGGTTCATGTCGCGATCCAAGAGGATGTTGCTCGCTTTTAGATCCCTGTGTATAACTCGCAAGCGGGAATGCTTGTGCATGTAAAGAAGCCCCTGCGCGATCCCATCGATTATTCGGAAGCGCCGCTCCCAGTTCAGTATCGCCCCTTTCGCACTATCTGTACAGAAAAAATGGCAACGAGACGGGTAAGCGAATAAGATATGGCAGAAGGAGATGCATGCATGTGAGGCTCTCTCTTGTTGTGCGTGTACCGAAGATGAAGCAATCCAAGCTTTTGTTGTGCATGTACTCGTATATGAGCATCTTCTCCTCGGCCTGGAGGCAGCAGCCCAGGAGCCTGACAAGGTTGGTGTGCTGAAGCTTGGCGATCAGCTGGATCTCGGTCTTGAATTCCATCAACCCCTGCACGGAGCACGTAGAGAGCCTCTTGATTGCGACCTCAAGCCCGCCAGGCAGTTCACCCTGAAATACACATCACTTACATTTTATTACAAATGCATTGCACCGAATGATCCATTTGTGTGTAACTATCAGAAATTCAGTATTGTGTGTGCATGCGTTACTGCGTGTAAGAGTTGTACCCTGTAAACAGCGCCAAAGCCACCCTGACCGAGCTTGTAGTCGTTGGAGAAGTTTCTGGTGGCGTCTGCGATCTGGTCGAAATCGTAGAGCGAGAACTCGGAGTCGCTCTCTTCGATTTTCCATAGCTTGAGCACCTGCTCCATCTCCATGGACATGGTTGGTATGTTCACCCTCCCTGAGAGATTGGTCACTGATCAATTGTACACTCGTCAGATCGAGATCGAGGCAGAATTGCAGGGCAACCATTTGTGAGAAGAACATGGTGTAGTTAGCTACCTCTTCTTCTTCGCCTTCTCATCCACATGAAACATGCCAAGAAGCCGCAGAGGAGCACGGTTATGGGGACTGCTATCGCCACGATCCAAAGCGTGTGCGTGTTGCTGCTCCCTGCACAGACCGAATTGAACGATGTCCCAAGTTGGATGAGAACGGTGTACCATAAAATGCTAGTACAAACTTTTGCAATTATATTTTTTAGCAACATTTGTTTGCTAGAATTACTACAGTTGACTGTTCGATGTAACCTCAATTTTTTAGTCTCTGGTGACTGCACATTGGTGGGCGCTGCACCAGACATGACGAAAAGAAATTCGCATACAGAGGGCGAAACCAACGAATTTATTTAGTGGGGCCACGAGTTAGTGACTATACAGAGGCAAAACATCAAGGTCAAGGATGCTGATTGGACCTTCCGTGCGGGTGGGCCGTGGGGGTACGTTCAACGACGACCCAAGCGGAGTCCAACACCGGGGTCCCGCCCCGACGGTGGAAGCTATCACATTTCAGCGTGGGGTCGACATGATGTGAACGTCCCCGGAGGCAAAGCAAAGCAGGACAAGCAAGGCCAGCATTTTTTTGTAGATAACGTTGATCGGACGTAGCTACTGCTTGCGCATAAACAAAGGCTCAATTTGTCGCGTACATACGTGCATGACATGCATGCACATATGCCATCCGGATTCTGTATGCACTAGCTAAGCTACTAGGCATGTGATGTGAGTGAGTGCGCGAGTCTGATCTGGTACGTAGAACAAAGGTTGGCCGGTGGCCATGGCAGCGGAAATCATCAACAAAGAATAAGGATGAAATAGGTTAAATTGAATCTATCGACGCAACTAATAATCATCGAAGGATCTCGTGGCTCACGTGGATCGGCCTATGGGTGTCGCTCGATCAACGGTAAAAAGCCGCGGGGTTGTGTGGAAAGAATAAATCAAATCTGACCACAGAACCCAGATCTAACTGTCGGCCACGCCAGGGTTAACAAGGAGATCTACGACTAGCAAAATCAGGGTGACAATTGCCAGCTACACGTACGAACCACGAGTAATATCTGTAATTGTTTATAAACTGTCTTTGCCGCTGACTCTCTGTACAGAACGTACACGCAAGCTGATATATTTGCGGTAAGAAAAGTCATACTGTTCACGCCAAAAAATGAGCCATACCGCAGTACCATTTTTCCCGCAAAAAAATCATAAGTGGCCTACCAACTTGCCAAGTGATTGGATCGGGTATCTTGTCAAGAGAAAAAAGGTGACTTGGATTGAGGAAATATCTACGTCGATACCATCATCGGCTGGAAATCTTTTACAACTTCTGGATCTCACGTAAGAAGGCAAGACTTCAACAGCTCCCGTCGTAAACTAGTTCATGAATGAACATATATAATACTCTCGGATCCCTACGCATGGCGCACAAAACAATTCTCCGTCCCTATAGGCTGATGTGCACGGCCGGCATAATCTTCTAGGGACGTCAAAAGTCCTACTTGAAGGCAAGCTAGGAAATTCCCTACTGCCATACTTGTGTTAGATCTTGAAAATATGAAACATTTAATTTGACTGCACATTAGTGATTTTCAGAGGGAATTTCTCTATGGTCCTTTTATCGTAGGCGAACGTATTTTCTTATTGCATTGATGAACAAAAACAATTTATCATCAAGATTATATGTTCTTTTTTTTAGGGTATCATGATCACATGTTCATGTGTCATGACTACTAGAGTTAATCTTACTGTACCCTCCAAAAAAAAGTTAATCTTACTGTTATAATATCGTTCAGAGAAAGTAATGCACTGAACGAATCTAGTAATTTATTAATTTTCATCAATGCGATAAAAACCCTATATTCATTATTCAATGGTGGAGCTTGACTGGCATAACAGGGGGGCAATAGGCAAACTATGAATATTTGGAGGGGCTAAACGTAAATATGATGCATTTCTTCCTCAGGTAGTAATTCTACTCACCCTTTATTAAGAAGACAATAGTAAGTCCAGCGAATTCAATACTCAATGAGGCAATGTTTTCTTGTATTCTCGAATGACATAGTAGGAACGATTCTGCCTACAAAATCTCCAAATATATGCAAATCAGAAGTGCATATATACACTCATATAACAGAAACTGCATACCCACCACCGGAAGTCTAAACGTCGATCATTTTCATTCTCATCAGATCATTTTCATCCATGAACTGAAAGGATATGCAAACGCACGGCTAAGTACTCCACTAGTACGAAGGAGGTCACTCCGCGGAACCAAATTAAGCAACGACAAGCTTCTGCCACAGTTTGTAAACGGAGCAAAACTATTTACCAACTTAGGACACTAACTAATGCAATGCACGCCATTCCAGATGACTTAAAATGGAGAAATTGCTACTGACCGGATTAAAAGAAGTGAGAGTGATTTTACAAATGTAAGAAGCTACTTCCTCCCTTTCAAAGTAAGTGTCGTGAAGAACTAAAACCACGATACTTATTTTGAAATGGATGGAGTACATCAAGATAACAAGATTTGGATTTACCTTTGGACGGATCCAGCAGGGGCGTGAGCGTCACCATGTCGCCGGTGGTCGTGAAGAAGATATCCTTCTCGTACCTGACGGCGCAGCGCACCCCAAGAATCCTCCCGCCCACCCTCCCGCTCAAGAACTTGGGCATCTGTTTGATGATGGCGGCGAGGCAGGCCTGGCACTGAGCCGTCGTGAGGTCCGGCGTGCACTGTGCCAGGCCGTACACGTTGATCTTGTCCGGCGGGAAGCCGGCCTGGCCCGTGGCGTACCTGCCGCTCACGTTGCTGGCCCTGTCCGCCACCGCGTTGGCCAGCCTCGTGACCAGGCCGTCGAACGCGGCGACGTTCCCTCTGGAGACGTTGTTCATGTTCGACGCCACGCTCTCGGGCGAGTTCACGGCGCCGGCGAGGAAGTCCTGGTCGTAGAACCGGATATGGCACTGGTCGTGATAGATGGTGACGTCCTTGCTGCGGCCGCAGAGGTTCACCGCGTCCTTGAACGCCCTGGAGAGGCACGCGCCGCAGTCGTCGCCGGTGTAGTCCCAGCGGCAGAGCGCCAAGCCGTACGCGGTGTCCGGCGCCCGGCCGAACGCGCCAGCGGAGAAGCCGGAGGCCGATGCGTTCTTCGGGAGCACCGCGGACATGCTGGCGAGGTTGGCCGCGAAGGTGCTGTTGGGCTGGTAGAGTCCATCGGCATCGCTCGTGGGGCTGCAGAAGTGGGAGAAAGCGTTGATCACCGGCACGGCTCCTTCATCGCCGGACGCCGGCGCTGGCAACGAGCTGGCGGGAACGAGGAGGAGCAGGAGGGCAAGCATGGTAGGTGCCAACTTGCTAATGGTATTGTGTAGAGGCCAAGTGTGGCAGAAAAGCTAAGCTGCTCATTGGCGTTGCTCCGTACTTATCTAGTTGTGTTAATAGGCATCAACCCTCGTGAGAATTTTTTATCTTAATAGTACTTTAGTGGATGTACAGAAGTAAAAATATAGTACTCCGGGCTCGGGTTTAGGTGAACTAAAGCTAATGGCTGGTTGCATTAGCGATGATAGCGAGGGTATGCTGGTTTTTACTCGAAGGTTGACTTTGAGTACAGGCTGCCATCGGTGTGGACATTGGATGGTGAAAATGAATAACGAAATTGCGTGCGTAACTCTTTGGACTCTACCCAGCGGCAGATGGTGTCGTTTCCGAGTTGTTTACAAGGACGGGGCGAAGATGGACTATCTGAATGAGAAGTCTGACGTGCCACTGCCGGCATTCATATATGTCAAATTCAAACTTTCAAATTCATGCAAATTCATGTACGTCCATCATACACGTCAATCATGCAGTAAATAACAAATGTTTGTACTAGCAAAAATGCATAGTTCTTACATAAATTTTATTTTAAGTGCACAACTCAAACATTAGCTTTTTGGTTTCATTGTAGGTCCACATATGCTCCACAAGATTATTGGTAGCTGCGTGTGCACCTGATGATATTAAAGATTCTGATGCATCTATAGAAATTTCGTAACCTGATTTGTATCTTGATCTTTTAGGATTTAAACTTGTTCTCCATGGTTCGGACAACACCATCAACCTCATTCTCGACAATCATATTATGCAAAATAACACAACATGTCATGAGCTGCCATATTTTTTTTTGATTCCCACAGCATTGCAGCTCCACGAACAGTCCCCCAACGAGGTTGAAGCACATCGAATGGCCTCTCCACATCCTTTCTAGCTGTTCCTTGCATTGTTGCAAAGTGGCTTTGTTTGTTGCCGTTTGGTTTGCATATGGTCTTCACAACACCCCCCCACCCCCTGCGTGAGGATAGATGTCATTGGCAAGATAGTAACCCATGTTGTAGTCACGACCCTTAACACTGTAGTTACATGACGGTGATTTCCCATTACAAAGCCTCCTGAACACCGGAGAGTGTTGAAGCACATTGATGTCACTGTGACAACCCAACATTCCAGAGAAAGCATGCCAAATCCATAAGTCATGTGATGTCACTGCTTCTAGTACGATGGTGGTCTGTTTGGTGTGATCTTGATACATTCCCCGCAAACTTTTGGGCTAGTTCTTCCATTACCAACTATTGCAATCAATTGATCTGAGCATTTCTGAAAACCCTCCGGCCTCTCCAATAGTCAACAACTTTTCTGTGTTCTGCACATTTGGTTCTCTCAGATACTCTGCTCCAAACACCTCCACCACTGCGCGGGAAAACTTCACAGTAGTATTCGGGCATGTGCTCTCCCTCATCCTGACCATCTCACCAATGGCAGTACCAAGTGCAAGCATCACAGCCGTGCATTTCTTCTTAGCATAGAAAGATAGTTGGCCGCAACAATCCCTTGTGAGATTGAAGTACTCATCATGTGCCTCCACTTCCTCCATAATGCGCAAAAACAATGGTTTTCGCATGTGGTGACGAAATCATGGATCATCAGGGAAAGTTAGGTTTGGAGCAAAGTAGTTCTTCTGCAGTAGCCGTGCTCCGGAGACTCCATCCCGATTGATCATTATTCCCCCTTTGATTGAGCCCTTGAAGTTGAAAATATGCTCCACCTGGCGGTCCACTTCCTCTTGCATGCTCATGTTCATTTCTTCATTTGAATCCAACGAAACAAAAAAACTCATCTTGAATTATTTGATCAAGCTTCGTCGGTCCATACTCCTTGTCCGACGAAACATCGTAATTCATCGTTTTCCCTTAAAAAAATCACAAAAGACCGGGTCGGACAATGTGTCGAACACATAGAGCGCAAGGGGTAGCCCAAAAGTTGCCAGATGTACTGCGGCGACCTCCGGGCCGGCGACAACATCCCCGGCAATGAGGACAAGAGAGAGGAGTTTTTTGCTCATGGTGGCGGCAGAGAGGCTCGGAATAGCCGCAGAGCGCACGCGGCGGCGGAGCTGCAGACGGGCGTCACGGAGGAGAAAAAGAGAGGAGAGAGAGCAAATGGATCCGGTAAGTCGAGGGGGTGAATTTGACGCAATTTGTGATGGGGTAGGGCTGTCGGGTCCAACGTGATGGACGCACCCGGGCGCTCTATATCCGCCTAGATTTGGGCTGGATATGAGGCGTACCGGTCAGGCCGGGCGTTTGAGGCGCCTGCCTGTGTCGCTTTTTAATGACCGGTCACTGACCGGACCGTACACCCAAGTGTTTGAAACGGATTTGAAACGCCCGGCTGTAGCTTACGAGATTTGGTCCAGTCTTTGGATTCAGATAGAGTGGAGCGTCAAATAATATTGAGGCACACAAAATTCGGGGGATACATCCCATAATTCGTAAAATATTTGTGTAGGCGTCTCTCAAAAAAAATGTGGTCCGTAGACAAAAATCTGTAGATCCAGCTCCACGAACAGGGGAAAAACCCGCCCCGTTTGTATAAAAAAAGGACAACAAGAAGACTTGTAGTGCATACCTAGTTTCTGAAAAATGCTTCCAGAATATAAACGTCGTGAACGGTGGGAGGTCAAAGAAAAATAATTGACCTCCAAATAAAAGTGATAAACCAGTCTCTAACTTGCATTTTCCCTACTCTTTTGGTAACCGTACGTGCCGGCCGGTTCTAGTCTTTATTCCAGATATTAATCGAACGGTTATACTTCATCTGTTTACAAATATAAGATGTTCAATTTATTTTCTAAATTAGATGTATATAGAATTATAGATACATTTTAATATGTTTGTTCATTTATTTCAATCCAAATGTAATTCATATTAAAATATTCAAAACATCTTATATTTGTGAGCGGAGGGAGTATTTCATAAGTACTACATTTGTTTCTAAATAGCTAATATTATCAAAAAAGATCTTATATTTTGATACTGAGAAAGTATTTAAGAATAAAGGGTGTACTTACAATCTTCATGACTTACCTCGGATCTGAAATCTAGAGGTTTCCTCTCCAAGGAATGGAAACAGCCAATTTAGCATTGGCGCAGTTTAAAGCCACTTGTTGCTGTCTACAGATAATCATCAATAAATAAATAGGTCTCTGAGACTAGTTATAATGGAGAGTAACATACACAAACGGACGAGGATTTAGAGCACTCGGGTGCTCCGCACCCCTATATGTACAATATTAGGAAAAAATACCAAGAAATTTGAAAAAAATCTGGGATTTGGGGATATTAAACGTGGGTTCCCGATCTACTCCTGTCTGAAATTTGGTGAAAAAATATCAGAAAACGTATTCACGGCAAAAAAGACAAAAATTTCATACAAGCAGTGGTAGTTACCACCACTTACGTTTTGTATGTTGTATGTAGTATCTTTCAAAACCGAGAGTATGTACGTGTAGTATGTAGTATATAACAATGATTAGGTAGTATATACATAAATTTTTAGGTAGTATGTATCATTTTTTGAGTATGATCTTTTTTACGTACAAATATGTACGCATTTCATAAATATAACAAAAACTATGGGCTCATATGCAATTTTTTCATGTAACTTGTTTTGAAATATCTTAGATATAGTATATGAACATATTTGAAACAATAAAATAGTATATATAGTACCACATGCTAGTATATGAGACATGTGGGGTAACTACCACCGGGTGGTAGGATGGATTTTCCCTATATATATATATATATATATATATATATATATATATATATATATATATATATATATATATAGCAAAACACTGTTTGGGTACATTTTTTTCCGGGCAGTAATTCCTTCGCCACGGATACATTTTTTGATATTTTTTCACGAAATTTCACACGAAAGTAGATTGGGAAACCAGGTTTGACATCCCGAAATTTTGGATTTTTTTGATTTTCTGGGATTTTTTTACGAATATTTTTCGTATAGGGGTGCGGAGCACACAAGAGCTCCTGTGTATTTTCCCATACACATATCCCTAAACTATATTACTACCTTCATAGTGGGTAGTAATATAAATATGGTAACATGGAAAGCCTTATTTGTTAGGTTATAGACTCATATTACATTAGGACATGTGATGTTACGGTAACTAGCTAAGTTACTCAAACTACCTCTCTCCTCATTAACTCATTGCCATATAAGTAAATTTGCTGAGTTGGACTCAATGTTACTGCTGAAGTTACTCCCAGTGTGGCTAGTCTGGTGCATATGGAGCTAGGGCCATCATTGGTCGCGCACACATCGATCTGCAGCTAGATTTGGATGCTGCCGGTTCCAACTCGTTGCCTGCAGAAATTTCCAACTTGTAAATGCTGAACCGTGCGCACAGGTGCTATACATGGCTGTTTTCGCTCGGCATAACGTGTGCCCCGAACTTCTTACACCGAACATCCAAATTACAAGCCATTTTCACTTGTTCCTGACATTCATACCATTGCAATTAGATCACATTTTGATTGATTCCGATAATTTTTTTACGGAATAGATAAATCCCGAACGTTCGATTTTTAAGCATGTCATCCCGAACTCTTTTCATGGTAACTTTAGTAATAAGGCGATGTTGGCAAACATGGCAATTTTCTGATAAAAAATTGAAATAGAACAAAGTTGCCATATATTAACAACTAAAGTTGCCACCTCACAGCAACTAAAGTTGCCATCAAAAAACGTTCAGGATGATATGCTTAAATTTCGAACGTTCGGGACTTATTGAGGTCCTTTTTTAACATAACTTTTACTTTGAACGATAACAAACATGTCAGTTAAAAAAACAAATAACAAACATGCCCCGCACATGCCCAGGCCATGACCGCTCAAAGTGATAAAATTTCCAGCATCGTACTCTTCAGATCGAACCCGCGATAAGAACATACAATCATGCATCTCACCTATTTGCTTCGTTGATACAGTCAAT